ATTTATATATAGACACGAACACACACGCACACACACACACAGACACACACACAGACACACGCTTATATATATATATATATATATGATTGTGTGCCAGTTTTCAACACACCTTAGATTATTTGATTGTTAGGATGATGCTGTTGTGTTAGTGTATGGTTGGATCACAAACTGTTATCAATGGATACCATCGCGCAGGTCACTTAAAAAACCGGTAGTCCTTGCACCCAGTGTTAAACTGCTACCGATAGAACACAGGGTATATAATATTTTACTCATACCCTGTAAGCCTAGTCGTATATCTTGATTGGATTATCATTTGATTTGAGCATGTGTGCCCTAGTCCTGAATTGTTTGTGATGGGTTTTGGATTCGGTAAAAGCTTCACGTCTGGCATATTGCGTATACGATGTCACTAGCTACCTTATACTTCAATAGATAGCTATGTCGATCCATTTCATCATTGTTTTATAGTACACATTGCAACTAAGGCAGGTCTTCTAGCAACCTTACCTCACCTTGCCTTGTGAAATCCATAGTATACATGCAGGGTATTGCAGCATAATATACTGCATTTGCTATTCGCCGTGCCAATGACATCCAAAGGTTTTTAGACCGCGATTGTGGTCAATATTATTTTGTAGAAATCTCTCAACTGTGTACATGTTCTGTAGTAGTCTCTCAACTGTGTACATGTTCTGTAATAGTCTCTCAACTGTGTACATGTTCGAATCTGGCTGAGTTTCTAATACACATTCTCTAATAATTTGTTATAGTTCATAACACGCATCTCCTGTCCACCTACAATCACGGAGCATCTACTAATCATGTATATATATTTCACTACATTTCCTCTCATAATTCAGAGGATAAACAAAACCAGGGTTACTTGGAGTTTATACATACTAAGATAAATATTCTGGACTACGGCAGCGACCCCCCAGCGTGGAAGTCATTAGATATGGTACGGTGTTTCGCTTGTATGTAGTAGAAATGTGTGTAGTATAAATGTACTTGAGACACACACTCGCATGTCCAGCACGCTAGCTGTCTCGGTGATGCAGCCGGGGGGAGTGGCGGGGTTGCGTCGTTCAATGTTTTAGGGTTGTGGTTCAGTCTATTGCTGGGTGTTGCCTTGTACGTCCGTGGGTATTCTTAGTGCCATGCCCAAGTCCTGTCCATTTTTTTGGGAGTGGTCTTATTCTAAAGCTGCCAAGGGGAGTTTTGTGCGCTCTACATTTCTGTAGTTTCGTATTCGCTAGTCCAGCCCGTGTGATATTGTATATTTCATACCTATCCAGCTACATGCCCTTAGGCTGCTGCAGGGGTTTCTAGGGTTTAAGGTTTAGGGTTCAGTGTTATCGCAACACCTGGGCGTTGTACTTTGTCAGTGACATATACGCTGTGTATTTGCATGGTCTTGAATAGCTAAGTGCTTCCTACCGTCTCGCTGGTTGCGCGTGGCCGTCTTGGTTGATTGCATTAGTAGTAGCGTACGGCTCCCATGTACGCACACGGGTTCTTCCGCGATATTTTAGACCAATAAAAATCGCTACAACATTTTAGCCGTTGGTTTACGTTCGATCGATCGAGAGCATGGTATGGGCGAATAATGCAGTATAAATATATCGTAATACACATTTGAGATTGACCTTTGACAATATCTGGATCGGTACAGTTTAATGAACAATCCGCCGTATAATATTCTGGTCTTGTATTTTAAACTGTTTCCGTGCACAGGGGATTTTGGACCAGCCCTACCTTATTTCCGGACAGACATACCGTATCCGGGGCCTGCTGCAACTCACTCAAAAGTGCAAAGTGAACAGGATTAGTGGTATTTACATGTATAAGTGTACGCATATAGAATGTACACATACATGTTC